CCACTCTAACACATACGCACAAGCACATTGCGCTACGGCAGTTTCTTATCCCTGCCTCTCTTTGAACGTCGCACACCACATTCCCCGTTCTGGTTTCCTGCTTCCCTCTTCGGACTGCACCTTCCCTCACTCACATCATGAAAGGCACGCTCCATTTGTTCCGACTGCGCTGATGGCAACGTTTTTCCTTCGCTGTTCGACATTTCTCCCTGCTTACCTGATTGTTTGATCAAGTCGATCACATGGTTGCCTTTATCATTTGATTCGTCACGACAGGAAGCTTCCTTTCCCATTCCATCCTCCTCGTCCATGCCCATGACCTGTTCGATCATCGCTAGCGCCTCGGCCTTCGACACATCATGACCCCCTTCATTCCCGGCTGTTGTACAAACTCCATCTGGACCACCACCATCTTCCATCTCCATTGTGTCAGTGGCTATCTGCGAGCCGGAACCGGTGCATTCCATGTGTGGATGTGTGGCCTCCCTTCCTGTGTCGTGCAAGATTGCCTTCTGAAATACTGTTGCATATCCTGCATTGTCGTCCATCGCACTGCAATTCACACGTGGCAAAGTCTCTTCGTTGGCAGAGCGGTTGGTGTCTTCGGTTTTGTCATGCAACTTGGCCGACAATGTGTCATCCGTCTGCGCATCTTCGCGGGCCACTGCGGCATTCCCATGACTCTGCGTACCTGCAGTTTTGTCTTTTCCGGCTGCTGTTGTTTGCATTGCATTTTGTTGTGAGAGTCCCTGAGGTTGTGCAGTGCTATGCACGACGTCGTCGGTTGCTGCCTCCTCCTCCCTCTGTTCCGCTCTTTCCTTCACACATTCCCTGCCGCACTCCGATCCGTCTACCTTTCCCCCTGGTATGGCACTGACGCCCTTTGGAAGCCCGACTTTTCGCAAGTCATTAAGTGATGTTGTGCAAGTAACCCCATTCTTCAGGTTCATCATTCCTCCTCTTAAGCCCTTCCTTGCGAGCAAAACTGTCCTTACCGGGTCCTCCGCTTGTCCCGTCTGGATTCTTTTTATGTATGACGTTCTCTTCCAAGGGTTGACTGCACGGCACCAATATGTTACTGTCGTAGAGATGTTCCGTGTCACGACACTCCATCGTCCATCTGATCAGTCCTCTTGAAGGGCTTGATTTTCTTTCGTACAACGCTGCACAGTACTCTAGATGATTGTTTTCAAACAGTGATTCGAAGAGGGAGTTCACCTTTTCGCTGATAGTTTCCTCTCCTGCACCCCTGTTTGCCTGGACCACACGCAACAACAACTGCTGCTTCGCAATGTCAAGGAACTTAGTCCTGTTGAGTCTTTTCTTGTTCCCTCCCACTCGGACAGCCATGTGCCATTTGCCGTCAACCACACATGGCTCGAACAGGCCCGAATGCCATATGATGTGATGACCCCATTTGTAAGCCTCAGTCTCTGTGAACTTTGTGTCCAAAAGGTGAGGTCCTCCTTTGCTCTCCTTCATGTGACTTTCGATTTCATCCCCAGGACTCAGAGCTTTTTCCTCATCGTCAGGCATGCGAAACAATGGATCGTCCTCCAGATCCATGGCATCCTCCCCGGGCCCCATGCCAGCAGGTCCACAAACTGTTTGGATCTCTGTTTCCATTGCCATGACATCCGAGATCATATTCCTCATGAGCGTAGGAAAGCCTGGGGTGGCGCGGTTGTCCACCCATTTCGAAGTGCTTGCCTCCGTACCATCTCCCACGGACGACGCAGGCGGTTGTGTGACTCGGCTGTTCTTGCATCTCACCGTAGTCGCTCCCCTCACTTCACCCACCCCCGCTTCACCCTCCGCCTATGACTCCGCACGCATGTTATCGTCGCCTGCTTCATGCCTTGCATCAGGCGAAGGCAAGTCAATTTCGTCGTCCTCAGTATCCTCCTCACTGTCCATCAAATCGAAATGGTCTTCAGGCTCCAAGGCTTTGTTATAAGTCTTTGCGTCAATGCGGTCCGTTTTTCTGTTGAACCACAAGTTTTCGCAACGTGCCAAGAAAATCTCGATTGCACAAATTTTGGCATCGTGGTATCGCTGGAGATGTTGGAGAGCGATGACTTTGCGTGCAACATAATCTATCTCTGTCCGCTTATCAGGAGCATTGCAGAACAAGTACTTCCACAAAGACTCTCTCTTCTTTCCCAGTTTCAGAAACATGTCTCGGTCCGGGCGATGCTGAGTCTTCGGCCGCTCGAAGTGACAACGGCTATCGGGACTACCAACGAGACGATCAATAAACGCGGAACAGTACTCGAGCATGGTGGAGGAACCTTCGCATGCCACAACATGACGGCCGGACCGAAGTAAGTCCCAAACTGAGCCAGCTTGGACGTTGCCCAGAAGGAGCACACCCTCCCCTTCCTTCGAAAACCACGAACACAACTCTTTGATCTTCGCCGGCTCTCTCTCCCAAACACCATAAACAGCTCTGTCTCCGCCGTCCACGCCGATGTGTTGCTGTGTGCACCTTACAAACATCTCCTCCTCAAACTTTGTATCGAAAAGCACATTATCACGCTTGGATGGGACCGTGACTTTTTTGAAGTCATTGCCTGCGTCGTGCAACACAATTGTCATGGAGTCCCGACTCCTCAATGGAAGATTTCCAAGCGGGACACACAAGGACGGCTGAGTACTGTGATGCCGCCTCCAGCAGCCCGGGAGAACCTTCACATCCCCCCACCTGAAGATGCTCCTCAAAATCGAGTCCTCGGATTTCAGCCCGCAAAAAATAACGAGTGCCCAATGTATCCCACATAGAACCTTCATCAAATGCTGAAGCTCGACAAACCGCTGGTCTGTCCATAAATCAAGACTCTTGTTGGGACCCAAATCCAGCACCGCAAGGTGGCAACTCAACTTCTTCACGACACGAGTGAAGTCCTCTGTTGGCTGGAACCCATCCAAAGGCCCCATGCAGACAGGGAGATATGTCGTATTACACTTCCTCTTATCCCAGAGTATGTGCAACGCGTTTGCGCTGACGCGTTGAAGCTCGTTCTTCAATTGGTTGACCGATCCCACTATCTCATGCAGGAACAATTTGAGAAAGTAAGGACACTCCATGTACATCTCAGTCGTCACCTTGTATCCCCCCACATTCCCGTCTCCCAACTTCCCCTCATCGACACCGCCCAAGCGTTTCGACACATTGTTCAATCTCTCAACCGGGAGTTTTGTCTTCTTCTTCTCCCACTTTTCCTTTGTCAACCCGTTCGGTCCAAATCTCGCCATTATATCATCGTACCCGATGAAGAATCCGTCTTTCCGTTCACGCCGTTCCCTCTGCTCCGACTTGAAGAGCACGTAGTTAAACATGCGCACCATGTATCTCTCCCTACGCACTTCCGTGTAGATGTCGTTCATGTTCATGAGTTTCTTCACAAATGTCCTGCCAGTGGTGACGACCACCTTCCCAGCCAAAATCAAATCCAACGCCATCTCCTTCTCCCTCGTAGTGAAATCCCCAAACACTTTCCAAGCGCTCGCTGGAGGATCGTGAACATAGATGCAATACCCATTCGGACTTTTGTTCGATTGGACGTAGTGCACCAGTTCCTTTTTCCGTTTGACTGTCTTCGCTGCCGGACCTGGACCGGAGGCCTTCCCCGTCTCCCGTCCTGGTCAACTGGCCGGACTCCATCCTGGGCAGGCAACTCCCCTCTTTCCCACATGTCGAAGAACCGGTTCACCAAAGCCCACACAGCGTTGCCAGTCGTCGCGAGGCACATGAATGGCCTCAAAAGGTTGGACCAATTACGAACAAATTTGTTGCTTAGCGACTGGTTCCAGAGCTCTGTGTCCGGAGTCATCCTTATCGCTTTGCGCAGGAATGCGTGATAGTTTTATTGCTGCTCCAGTTTGTCATCTTTTGTTTTTGCCAGATGCCAGTCACCCTTCGGGCACTTCATGTGATGCTACAACCCTCTTACTGTGGTGACAGCCATTCGGAAAGATGACGGGATAGAGCGAGTCTCCCTCGTGTTGTCAAATGTGGATATGTAGGCATACCCATCGAGGTGGTCATCATCGAAGTAGACCGCACGTGCTTTCCATGAATGCATACCCCATTTCCTGGCAGCTGGCAAGTTCATTGTCGGCAACCTCTTCGCAGCTTCCGCCGTGTGCTGGCCTGCAACGGCGTATCAATGGTACGAATCTACATCTTCGTCTTTCCAATCGGCAGGTTTCAAACGTTCCCACTGTTTTTGGCCGCCTCTAACGCCTTCTACAACTGGAGCGAGAATGAATGTGTTTATGTCCCACTCTTTCTGTTTCTCTGGTCGTTCCATAGCGTCCTTGATAGAGGCGACCAACATCTCGTTCAGCGGTCTGTGATTGTACTGGCAATCACCGTCGTCAGGGTTAGGCAAGATCTTGAGGACGTCGACGAACACTTGGGCAGGCCGGTCAAGGGCATTCCCATCCCCGTCGTACTCCAAGAAAAAACATCTTGTCGTGTCAATGTTATCGGAAACCAGCCGCTCCGGTTTCGCAGTATTATCTCTTGGATCAACCCCCACCGCCTCATCACCAGAGTCTGCCACTTCCTTCGGGCCGTCCACCTTCGGTTTCTTCTGCCTTTGTGACGAGTGTGGACGTTCGCGCTTTTCAGTGGTCGGCTTTGCCGATTGTGTTTCCAGCGCTTTCTTGTACGCCTCCTGCGATGTTGCCAAACCAATTAACTTGGACTGCCTCCGGGTCTGTTCGTCGTCTTGCCGTCGAGATGTCGTTTTTCTCTTGCGCGAGCATACTGATCTCTGCGTGCCAACGAGGACGTCCTCGTGTCTCGATGTGACAGTTGCACTGCAGGTGTGTCTTCGGTACTCACCGCCACCCCCTCCGCACGCATTGTCACCGTCCATTTCCCCTTCGCTCCCCCCTTCGTAGCTCCCTTCCTCATCGTCACCCCCCCCTTCAGTGTCGTCCTCGACTTCGAGGTCATTCTCATCGCCGCAGGCATCTTCATCGTTGGCATCTCGACGATCCTTACCTTCACTGCGTTCTTCGGTTTCATCCTCGTCACGGCCAACATTGTCGTCCGTGGATCTCTCAATCACGCGTTGTCCAGGGGTGATGTCATCCTCTGTCTTTTCCGAATCCCCAGGGTGCTCGCCGCCACCGTCCTCACGCGAACACGAAGTTTCCGTCGGACCTTCCTCCCGTGGTCGACCCGGAGCACTGCTTGTTGGCACCGTTTTCGATTGCGAATGCGAGGGAAGAGTGGGTTTCAACACAGGCCCAGACTTGCCAACCGGTCCCTCCTGCCCGGTTTGTCCTGCTGAACTGTCGAGTTTGGTTTTCGTCGCCCCTCCAGCATGTGGCGACCCAACAGAGATAGCACTGTGCAAAATAACCTGGCCCAACGTCTCCAACCTGTACGATCGAAGCTTCGAAGCGAACTCGTCGACAAGAATATCGAACGGTATAAGAGGTGTGGATAACGCCAGCTTGCTGCCCACCGTGCACTCGTGGGTAGCCACCTTATGGCAGTTAATTTTCTTGAGAAACTCTGGAGGCCGAAGCATAACGACCTGAGACCCGTCTTTCTTTCGCGACTTGTCGAACGGAGGCATGGCAGCGGCGCGCATACCGTACCCCACGAACTTGTGCAAATGCAGGGACACCTGTTTGTAGTTGTCAGGTTCCTCGTTGCCATCAGCATCGAAACAAGTGGTGAAGTGGAATCTCATGTACTCCTCATGCACCTCAAGCTTGTCGAAGGCGTAATTCTTTATTCCGCCACACGGGTAGAAATCCCCTTTAGAGTCTCTCAAGAAAACCACCGGCCCGCAGTAGGGAACCTTAATTCGCAGATGCCAATCAAGCGCCGAGTATTTATCATGGTACGTTGCAGCCCGACCTAGCACCTTCCGTGTAGACGCACCCGATGAGCTTTCTCTACCATCTACACAAGCAGCACACCCGTAGAAAACCCGTTAACGAAAGAAAAACGCAAGTGAAAATGAAGTCGTTTGAACACGAACTCCACCACAACTGACGAACAGGAAACAGACGAACCATCTGCGGGTGGCGGAGAGAGAGAGAGAGAGAGAGAGAGAGAGAGAGAGAGAGAGAGAGAGAGAGAGAGAGAGAGAGAGAGAGAGAGAGAGAGAGAGAGTAGGCGAACACCCGACGTGTAGAGAAAGACAGCTAATCACATACCTGCTCCTGATCACATGCACGCATCATCTG